CGTGCCCTGTCCGATACTCGCGCCCCGCTCCGCGGGCCCGATTGCCCCACGGCCACCCCCTGTGGCTGAGGTGGGCGGGGCAAGTCGGGCGGCGCACTGGCCTCCAGCCAGCCGTCGGCGGCCCGGGCCGTCCAGCCCCGCGTCGGCGCAGGGCTGGGCCCCCTTCCACCTCGAAGCCGCCGTCGTGTAGGCCCCCGAGAATGCCCGGGCCTAGTGCAGCCTCCACCTTGACCGTCGGGCTGCCTCCAAGGTGCTCGCCACATGCGGGGGATCCCCAGATCACTCCCTTGGACACGTGGTAGCACGTCGGTATACTGCATTTCCATCCCGGAAGCGTAGCGCGGCACTTCTGAGCGCGGTGGGCGCAGAGACAGATCCGCGCCGCCCCCCCCCCGAACTGGGAGCGCGACGTCGGACACCTCGGCGCCCTCGGCCAGAAGGACGGCGGGCTCGGCCAGGCCCCGATCGCTGCACCCCTCGGGCTGGAGCGGGCGTGCACCATCTGCGAACTACACGCCCACTCGCGCCGCTTGGCACGGGCGTTCGTCCGCCTCCACTTCGCTTTCGGAGTCGGACCCGAGGAGACGTGGGCCCGCGCTCTCGGCGATGAACGGCGGTGGCGGAGCTGGGCGCATCAACCACTGCACGGCAGCCCAGCCCGCGCCCCCTAATACGCAGCACACCGCCCAGCCGAGCTTGCAGAGCCCGGCGCGCACGGCCCCGCCCCCAAGAAGAGCGCGCGTGTTCCCCCAAGTCCACGATTTGCGCACTGGCCCACGTGGAAGGGGCACAGGTGTACCTGGCCCACTGCCTCCAGGCTCTCGCGCATGGTCTTGCTCGCACAGCCGAGGACTCGGTCTACCTTGACGTTCAGCCCGTGCCGATCCAGGCGTGGCTTAGGCGTGAAGTCGCAGGTGATGCGGGCGACCTGGCCCCGCTTTCGCAATAGGATGCGGTTCTGGAGTCGTCCCGTGCCCCGTCCCCGCACGCCCTTGGCGTAGTACTCGGGCTCCGTGCCCCCCCCGATTCCGGGCCCGCGCCATCGCACGTAGACGGGCGTGGGCGGCGGCGGGGGGAGAATCGCCTCGGGCCTGCCTCCACGTCGGCGACGGCAGAGCTCGATCTGGTAGTGGGACCAGCGGACAGCCGACCACAGCCACCCCAGGGGGGCCGTCGCCTAGGCGCACAACCCCACGAAGATGGCCAGCATCGCGAGGGAACCGCACAGGACGGCTGTCCCCCACCAGTAGCCAAGCAGTGAAACTCCAGCTCGGTCGATCATCGAACCGAGGAAGCCTCCCTTCTGCCTGAGGGTCCCGATCCGCGCCGGTGTGCTAAACCAGGACGCGAACCCACTAAGCCTCAGTGCCCACGCCGTGAAGCCCCAGTGGAACTCCCAGACCGGGGGCTCGCTCGGGGGCGGGGGCAGGGGCGGTGGCGGTGGAGCTGGCGGTGGCCCAGACGCTGGCCAGGCCATCCAGCTCGGCCAAGCGGGGGCCCAGTTTCCCCACGCCCAGCCCCCCTCCTCGCGCGACGCCCCCTGCGCTCCCCCAAGGGGCGCGGGCTCGCGCGAGGCCCCCTCCCCGCCCGAGGCGAACCCGTCGCCGCCCGCTGCGCCTCGGGCCCCCTCGCTTGGGGCCGGGCTCGTGCCGCGGGGCGGCCCGGTGCCCGCAGTTCCCGGAGGGTCGCGGTGAAGCTCGCTCTGAGGCTTGCCCTCTGCGCCCACCCGGCCCCTCGCCGAGGCTGGCTTGGGCCCAACTGGCTGCTGGCCCCCTGCGCCGGCCCTCGACGCCTCCGTAGTCGTTGTAGCCGTGGCGGGCGCCGCGGCGCGGGGCGAACTCGCCCCCTTGGCCGGCGCGCGCCCCTTCCCGGGGACTGGCTTGGCGGCGGATGTCACCGCCCCGCGCCCCTTGCCATGGCCCCCCCCTCCACCGAGGGCGGGCTGCGCCATGGCAGCAGGGCCCGGCGGCGGTGGGGGCGCGGGCCCGCCCCCAGAGGGGCTGGCCTGCCTGGGCCCCCACCCTTCCGCCACCCTATATGTGCCTCCCATGGCGACCACGCTCGCGTGAACGGCGATCATCATCCACGGCGGCATGGCCCCCCGGCGCGCCGCGGGCCCCCCCCTCTTTTCGGCCGGAGGCCCACAGGTACAACTCGTCTCGAGCCTCGCGGCTGCGAGACCAAAATGGAGCGCCCTTTCCCCCCACTTGATCTACAGCCTTCACTAGGCCAGACTAATAGTCCTCTACCTAACACCGCCGCCCCCCCCCCCCCCCCCCGTACTCCGATGCCAAGTAGATGGCTGACCAGATGGCCAGTGTGCAATGCTGAGGGCGCGCCGCTGCAGCACATGAGAGGAGAAGCGAGGTCAGGTGCGGAAGGGCCGCGCAGGAAGAGAGACGAGGTCTGGTGAGAGAGGTCATGCACGGGAATTGCATATGCACGACTGGTGCCCTTGCAACTCCCCATCGAGCCGTGGAGAAACGAGGCACAGAAGAGACACCCGCCCCAAGGGGAGGAAGAGGGAGCAGGCGCCGTGCCGAGCCTGAGCCACATAGAGGCGCGTGCGCCCAGCATCCGCACGCGGACCATCAGGACCTACACACATGCCACCAGCAGGGAACAGCCCCCGAGCTGGGAAGAGGAGCCGACGGCCCAGCGAAGCGGACAAGGCGAGAGGAGCGGGGAGGGACGAACGACAGCAGGAAGAGCCAGGACAATGGGCAGGTAGACTGTGCCGCTGCAAAGTAAAACAGACTGGCATTGTAGACAGTAAGTGAATAGAAGAGCTACCGCTTGCAGCTGGTATGATGCAGGTTGGCCAGGTATGCACTGGCTGGCCTTCGCTAGTAAAGGGTGTGTGAGCGGCAGGGTTAAACGTTAGAAAACTACTGCGGCTGGAAAAGAAGGATGGCTGGCAGGCTGGCCTGGTTGTCTTCTGCTGCGTCTAAACCCCACCTAACCGCGTCCTCCCCAGACCCACTCCTTCAACTGACGCATGTGGACTCTACAGCAAAGTCGGCGCTGTCAGTGATTGCCTGGTAACGCGCGCTGGCAAGACTGCACAATGCGGCAGCGCATCCTCTTCCAACAAAATGGACCCGTCAATGCCCCAGTCCCCAACACCACCATCAAACCCCCACAAGTGAACTGTTTGAAATCTCTGAGGTTCAAACCGGCATGTGAAACTGGCACATGCACCAATGGTTGGCCTGCAAATATAACGGTATGCGCAGACAAAAAGTAAATATATGGAGTGCCCAAAATGTGGGCTGGGGGAACGGTGGCAAGTATAATATTGATGCCCATGCAGAAACTGACGTGCAAGCGGTAGTTAATCTCCAGTATCATCCATCTTGTGCTTGTAGGCTTCGGCGTCGGTGGTGCCTTGTGCTCTGCTGCTGGAAACTTGGGTCTTGGCATTGGCGGAGCTTTGAGCGCTCTCGCGATCTCCTCGCGTCGATTGCTCTCCTGTCGTCGTAGGTTGCGTTCGGCCGCCGGCACTGCTGGTAGTGCTACTCGTGGTCGCGGACTCTGTCAAAGTATTCGAATAAACGCGGGTTGCTTTCGTCGCCCACGCACTGCATGTCGCACCATCCCGTTCGCGCTGGCACTGGTGTGGACCCGGCCTAACCTTCGAGCATGGCCTGTGGAGCCGGTGTAGTTGTCGGGCGAAAGTATGCGCGCAAGGTCGCCTGCGTCTGTGGCGCGCGTCTCTCTGGAAGGATGCCCGCAAGCCACCTGCGCGCTGAAGCTGCTTTGGGAAGTGGGCGCACCACTAAAATCTTAAGGCGCGGCGGTGGAGGTTTCAGGGGAAGTCAGTCAGTGAACGTCGAAGCCAGATAGTCTTGAAAAAGGTTGACTCTCCAGAACTTCGGGAGGACAATGTTAACTGGGTAAAGCACTTTGACCCATGCAAGGGGGTCGGTAAAACGTTTGGCACCGATATCAGCAGCTTCATTCTGCGTGCGATCGCACTGTAAACTAACAGTTCCACTGGTAAATTGTTCAGAGATGGCAGCAACATCTATTCGGTGGATTCTCGGACGGTGCATGAATTTCGTCGAGCCCACTGCTTTTATCACCCTGCATGCCACCTGATTATCTGCCATGAATGCGCATTTGACTTAGGTTGTCTTTTTCCCTTACCTTGTTGTGGGCGATGAGAACCAAAGAGCTCGGGGGGAACAAACAGGCAAAAGGCAGTCAAATCCACATCAGTAACATAGAGCCCTCAAGGGAGTTGGAACCCATGGGCATGCCCCCCCCCCCCCCCCCCGCGCGCGTCGCGCGCGCTGAAGTTCTAGCCCAGCTGACAGTCCGGACATGCTGCAGCGAAGCGCCGTGGATAGAGGGGGGGGGGGGGGGCTTCGTTGCGCGCGGCCGGGGGGCGGCAGGGACCAGCAACCGATCGCCCCGCGAGGCCAATCCCTTCCCGCGCCGTCGCACCCTTCTCAAAGGAAGAACCCATGCCAACCTCCCGCGAGTGCAAATTCCTTCTGCTGGCAGGCCGGCCGAGGAGGGGGAGGAGGGGGAGATGGGGGGGGGGGAGGGGGAGGAGGAGACGAGTAAGGCTTCAAGTGGCCACCAGTCCTGACATACTGCCGCGGAGTTGTGTGAATATGAGTCATATGTCATATGGATGCGATTTGAGTTGGCGCCATCCACCAACCAGCGGAGGAGGAGGGGGAGGAGGGGGAGGAGGAGGATAACAAGGAGAAGGATAAGGAGAAGGAGACAAAGAAGGAGAGGGTGGAGGATCTGGGAGAAGGAACCCACTTGCTGAGTTATCATACGGGCATACGGATTTTACTTTTGCAATGTTTCTGCAACGCGGAGTTGAAATGCACCGTTGCAGCCCCCATGGGCCATCGAGCACCTCGGCCAACGCCTGCCTGTGACAGGCAGCCTGTCTCAGTGACTCAGGCGCGGATACGGGCCGCCCGCAGACGCTCGGCCCTCCTCTCGCCTCGGGTGGGTGAGGCAGCGAACTCGCGATCCATCCGCGGCCTCGTTCTCGCCATCCTCATTGGCCGCCTCTGGGCCGCCCTCGAAGTCGGCGATCTCGGCGCCCTGCAGCTCGCCACCCTCGGCGGCCTCGCCTGTAGCCTCTTGCAGCGCCTCCAAGGCCTTCTTCAACTTTGGTGGGGCCACCGCCTTCGCGGCTTTCAGCTTCTTGAAGAAGTTGCTGACCAAACTGCCGTCCTTCGCGAGGGGGATGCACAACCCGCCCCTGGCGGCAATCATCATCTTGGCTCTGATCTTCTCCTTGAAGGCTTCTTGGACCTTCTCCTCGAGCTTCTCCATGGCCCTGAAGTTGGCTGCCACAGGAGTGGCATTCATCTCGGCGCTCATCTTCTTGATGGCGTTGAGTAGCATCACGCGGCCGGGCATGTCCTTGACGGCCTCCATTTCTTCAGGGCTGAAATCCTTGAGGGCGTCTTTGTGGTCGATCAAATTCGGCTGCACGGTCTTGCCCTATGCCTCGGTCTTGTTCACCATGCCTTCCAAGATCCTCGGCATGCCGACCTGCTTCGCCTCGGACCAGGCCTGCAGGACGCGGTTCAGGTGCGCGCGAATGTCTTTGGACGGGTGGTCTATCAGCACGCCATCGCCACCCATCCAATCCAGGAGGTCAGATACCTCACGATAGTTCTCGCTCCAGTTCTTGAAGATTTGCCCTGCAGGCGGGCCCGCTTGCGCTAGGTTCGGCCCCACCGCTGCGCTGCCCAGGCCTGCCGCCCAACCTCTGGCCCGGAAGCGCGGCCAGCCGCCTGGCCCATCTGACAACCTGGGAACGGAACCTGGGAACCCGGGGTCCTAGAACCTGGGGGCCCGGGAACCTTGCTACGCAACTGCTGCCCAAAACTATGCGAGTAACCTCCAATAGCGCCCCCGCTGTAGGCCCAGGCAGCACAGCAAAGAAGCCTCGGCTAACACATTGAGCTCCAGCCCAGAACCAAGTCGCAACCGTCCAAGGTGATCGCGCCCTTGAGGCCAGGGAGCAGCTTCATCAGGAAAGGGATGCGCTTGGAATGGATGTTCTCCTCCTCGCTGGGCGCCGCGACGCCCTCGCCGTCGGCGATGCTGTACTTCGCTGCCAACTTGCTGCACGCAATCCCAAGGCCGATCTCGTTGTCAAGTTTGGTCAGGACGTTGCAGCTATCGTCAGTCTCGCGAGTCTCCAGCTCGCTAGCCATGTCCAGCGCGCCTGAGAATGCCACGCTAATCTTCATGAGCTGGTCGTCTGCGATCGTCGCGGGGTCAACTTCGGCCTCGGCCCCGGCGGCGTTGACCTCGAGCAGAGGCGTCATCACCTTGCAGAGCGATTCAGGCAGCAACTTGTGGAACCCCCCCAGGTTCACCATCGCAACGAAGCAGTTCATGCTATCAACAGGGACCTCGATCGTCGTCTTTATGGCACGTTCCCGTCTCTTGCCACGCATTTAGCATGCTTGCCAGTGCAACAAATCTTGTGGGCCGTTTTCTTGCTCAACGCCTGGTTGAGCATCTCGGTCGGAGCACTTGCCTTCAGGGTGCCCAGGACCTCGTAGCACTTGGCGTATTCCAGCATGTTCATCCAATTCACCAGCGACTAGTTGCGGGAGGAGATCTCCTTCAGGGCCGGGGCCGTTGACTGGGTCATGTTCTGTTCCAGACAAGTTGCGTTCATCGTCAGCTTGTCGATGTTCTCCTTCACCCACTTGAGCGCGTCCTTCTGCGTGTCCAGCTTCTGAGTGTCCTCCTCAGCGTCGAGGATGTTGCCTGGCACCTCTGGCGGCGCTGACGGCGTGACAGCCTGTCGCGCTATCGGCGGCGCTGACGGCGTGACAGCCTGTCGCGCTATCCTGGCTTCGCCTAGCACGGTGGCGCCCTTGTCCAAAACTTGAAATCCAGCGCTTGAGTTTCGGGTTTCGGCGTCGGCATGGGCCCCAAGGCCCAGGGGGGCCCTGGGCCCCAATGCCTGGGAGCTCGATTTTTTGAACAAGGTATTTGGCGGCCTCTGTTGAGGCCGAGCCGCTTTGCAATCGATGAGCGGGGGCGGGCGCCCAATGGCGCCCAGGACAGGATCGGGGGGCGCCAGAATCCAAAGACCCCCCGCAGACCGAAGACCGAAGACAATTCGCCGCCAGCCCATCCGAAACCGACTCCCAAGCCAGTTGAGACGACCATGGAAGCGCAGGAGCAAAACTGGGGGACAGTCGACAGCCGCTGTCGTTCGAGGGGGGAGGAGGCGGGAGGAGGAGGAGTAGGAGGAGGAGGAGGGATGATGAGCGGGAAGGACGATGAATTTGCGGACGAGGGGGGGCAGAGGGAGGAGGAGAAGGACGAGGAGGAGGCGGAGGAAAAGGAAGAGGGAAAGGGCTTCAGTCTCCTCGGATGTCGCGTAGAAGCTGTTGGGAGGCCCCCCGGGGCGTCAGAGGGGGGGCATATTGGCGGGCCAAGGCGGCCAAGGGCTGTTTGGAGCGCCTTGGGTCTTGGGTGCCTCGGGGATCCCCCTGGGGCCTCTTGGGGGTTTCTTTGGGGCCTCTTGGGTGCCTCTTGGGGCCGTCTGAGCGCCTCTCGGTGCCCCTTGGAGCATCTTGGAGGCCACTTAGATTGAGCCATCCTGGTTGGAGGCTTGTCTCGACCTCTCTGAGGCGCCCCAACCTCTCGCGACTGGCCCCGCCCAGGTCCAGGGGAGGGGGTGAGGGGGGGATTTCAAGTGATGGCGCGGCCTGGCATATAATCGAAGCTGCGAGGCGGTCGACGGCCATCGCCGTGACATCGGCCACCCCCTCGCCGTTCGTCTCGGTCGAAATGGTGGACTTGCAGCGCTCGATCTGCCCATGCAGCTTGCCCATGTGCTGCCCGATCACAGCCCGATCAGTGGATGGCAATTTGGTCGATGAGAAAGTCATGTACATGATGATATCCGTTGCCGCCTGCTGCTTCTGGTCCATCGCTTGCACGTCTTTCAGTTTCTCGGCCAAGCCCTTCATGATTGTCTCGTAGGGCTGGGGCTTTTTGCGTTTGATCAGGGACAACTAGCAAGAGGTATCTTTCTTTTGCGTCAAGCGGGCCGCCGCTGTCTGCACCTTGTTCTTCGGGGTCGACGAGAGATTGCCAGGGGGGGCCTCCATCATTTCGCAATGAGCGTCGAAGGCAGTCGCGTCGTCCAAGGCTGCCCTTGGCAAGCCTGGCCGGGGGGGAATGGCCGCGGCGAGATTTTTGAAGTGCGCCTCCACCTGGTTGGCGCCATCTGGCCCAGATGTCCGATGCACGCATATTGCGTGCATCGGACACCTGGCCCCGGGGCCCCGACGGGTGTTTAAAGGAGACTTTGGGGCGGCAGGGCCTTCAGCAAGAGAACCGATCCACTACTGGGAGCATGCTGGCGCCGTTCGTGTTCGATTCGTCGATCAGATCCAGCTGCTCGCCCAAGCTATTGGCGATGCTCACGGCCTTGCCCGACGCGACCTTCAAAATGTAGTTGGGTGCCTTCCCTTGTTTCAGCCCTGTCTTGAGCAGCTCGTACTTGCGGTGGGCTGCCGCAAAATCTAGGCTGCCGAACTTGGACCACCCCTTCTCGAAGCTGCAGACGCACGTCATCGTCTCGGCGATCTCCGCCAGCGCGTTGATCGCCGCCCCCACGGTGGAGGCCCCCTTGGCCTTGAGGATCTTGTTCGCCGAGTTGACGTGCGCCCGGGCGTCCTTCAGCAGCTGCCCCGGAGGGCGGGCCTGGATGATCGCCCACTTGCCATTGAGGAAGTCTTTCAACTGGTCACTCAGTGGACGGTGGAGCTCCTTCGCATGCTGCGCAGTCTTCTCGTCGGGCTTCCTGGCCGGAGGAGGGCGCGAGCGAACGCTGGGGGCGCCGCCAGAGCCAGAGCTCTTTCGCCCGGGCTTCGAGCAAGGCGTACCCGAAGAGGCCGCTGTAAGAGGAGTCGCACTTGCCGGCGTAGTCTTGAACTTCTTCGGAGGGGGCGTCGAGCTCTTGTAGTTGCTGGCCTTCGGGCGCTTTCCCGCATCCATGCCGTCCTCATCGGAGTCCGACTCGTTCGCAGAGAAGCTCTTGTCGTCGCCATCGTCCGCCCCCTCGTCGTCGCTGCCGCACTCGGACCCCGAAGGGTCGCCGGCCTCCGCGTCCGCCACCTGCTGCAGCTTCCTCACCTCAGCCAAGCGAGCATTCTCCCTCGCCTGCGACTCGAGCATGATGGTCGGGACCCTTGCTGCTGCCGCCTCCTAAGGTTTTGCGATTGGCCGAGTGGCTTGCGTTACCTTCTCATCACGCCGGAGCGATCGCAGCCTACGTGTTTATCTAAAGCCTAAAGTGTATATAAGCTATGACATATATAGGACATATGTTACATATATATATATATATGAATATATATATATATGTATACACACTCACTGTCTTCAAGAAACTTGCGGGGGCGGCCCGCGGCGGAGTTGGATTGGGCCGGGCCCAAAGCCATAGAGCAGGGCTTTTGAACTACTTGGTTTTTTGATGGGGCTGTACTGTGAATAGTCTCAGGCCCCAAACCCTGAAGCATCGAGAAAGGTAGCGACTGAAATGCGAATGCGAGTGGGTGGCGAGTGATCTGAGACCCAGCGTCCTGGACCTAAGCCAGCTTCTCCTCGGCATGGCCCTAGTGGAGCGCGTCGTCGGCCCCGAGCGCCCCCTCCTCAATGCCCGCCTCGTCCTCGATGATGTTCTCCAGCTTGAACACGCCCTCCTCCCCCCTCCGCACGGCGTACCCGTTGAGCTCGGCCCCGTCCTTCTGCTTGAACGTGAATGGCCTAGCTTCGTTCGCCCGTGGACATCCGAAGTTCTTGCGGCACGCTTTCTCGGTGAAGAAGAACGCGCCGTCGTCGACCAGCTGCTGCTTGTGGCCGTTCCTCCTGCGTACTCTCTTCTTCGCCGTTCCTGACCGCAGCCTGGCCCCCCCGCCGCCCTCCTGCGCGATCCAGTTGTTCTGCACCTTCCTGAGCTTGCGCTCGATGTGCGGCTCGTCTCGAACAATCCCCCCCGATCCTCGAGGTGCTCGATCTCCCCCCGAAAGTTCGACCGCCAGAAGTTGCAGCAGTTCGCGCGCCACAGACCAGACGGCATTTTGATTCGCTTGATGACCCCAGTACGTTTGTCCTCGGCGCCCTCGTTGCGGCACCGGGCCCATTTCACCTGTTTCGGAGCGTTCTTCAGGACCGAGACGGGGCAGTGGTCCGTCGATCTGATGTCGCGCCCATTGCAATCGTAGAGATCCACGGAGTAGTCGCTCCGCCATCATCGCTGGGCGGGCCGCCGAGAACAGCAGTAGTCGCTCCCGGCGTGCCTGCTTCGCCAGGGGCATCGCAGGGGGAATCCCCGACACCTCCAAGATCCGCCAAGTCCAATGAGGCCGCCATGGCCATGGCCGCGGCGCTGTCGAAGCGCTGCCTCTGACCCCTGGCAGGTCTTCAGAGCAGCCGAGTGCGGCTGCAGATTGGGCCAGAGGAAATCCACCCTCGCCCCGGGCGAGCCCGAGTCCGAGCCCTAACGGCTACAAGAGTGAGGGGAAGAAGAGGGGGGGGGGGGGGGCACGGCGATTGGCGATGGGGGGAGGTCGGGCACACCGTGCACCCCTGGCTACACCAGCGCCCTCTCCCTCGCGGGGTCCACTGGGAGGTCGGCATAGAGACCCCGGGGTCCATGCTTGTTCGGTGGACACCTCACGATTGCATCATTGTTTTGGCGGGGTCAGGTGCTTCCCCCCGTAGACTCCTTTCCCTTTTCCATTCCCTTGCCCTCTCCTCCTATTCGTCCTTCCTCCTCCTGGCGCGCTGTCAGTCCGTCAGGCGCAACGGGCCGACCCTGCGCCGCGCGCCCTCTCTCGCAGACCGAACCGGAGCAAACTGGGAAGGGGGAGTCTCGGAATCTCGCGAGCCAGCCTCTAAGATTGCCGTGTGACAGGCCCTCTTAGGGCCCTCTTTCGCTTGCGGGGGGCCGCCCCTTCCCCGCCCTGGCCATTGCCGACCTCCTTCGCCGCCCCTGCTGCGA